GTTTTATGCCTTGTTTAGTAAAGTTTAGTCTGTTTTATAGAAGTTGCTTGACCTTGTTTTCGCAACTTGGTCTTATTAGCAGGAAGACCTAGAGGAATGCATCTTGTCTGGAGTCCATAGTATGCATGATAATTTCCAGAGTCACACCGTCGACTTGGTACATTCCCAAAAGTTTCGCCAGCATCGTCAGTGACCCTTGCCAGTCTCAACAACCAAGCTACAACTCGTCTCTGACGCGTTGCCGACTACGAACCGGCGAAACGTATAGAAATTATCAAGCATACTGTGGACTCCGGACGAGGTGTGTTCCTCTAGGTCTTCCTGTTAATATGACCAAGTTGCATAAACTAGGTCAAACAACTTCTATAAAAGGAAAGGAGACCACGACTATATAAAAGGCAACATCATCCTGGTCATCATACCTTCGGTTTTGTCTGTTTTATTCACCAGCTTGGCTACATATACATTGCTATCTTAGCTGTCATGTTATTTCAGCCTCCTATTTATTCTGTGATCTAAAATAGTACATTTTAGCCAGAACATAAACAGTCAAATAAAGGGACATCCATAAAATATGATTTAACTATATTTTTTTGCGAAGTTCTATTGCTTTGTGCAGCCATTTGGTTGCATACCTGCTTTTTTTATAATTGTCCCCTCACCCTAGCACGCTAAAATATGCTCTACAATCATTTATTAGTTTACACAAAAAAACGGCGAGATCTTGTTAATCTGGCAAGCACATCTATCGTTTTAACAATTTTTGCTATTGAATTAAATAAAGTTATCTATGTAACCACTAAACAAATTTAGGTAGTATTTTTTGCCACCAGATAGTTCTCGTTAATGAATGCTGCAAGTCTCTAGAGTTACATGTTATTTTTATCTTTTGTCTTTATGAAAGAATTTTATATTTATATAATCCCTTGGATCTAGCGAACTGTGCAAGTCTGGCTCCATCGATGGTGCTGCTTTTCAATCAATCACATAGCCACCAATAAAACTATTTATTTACTTATTACACTCATAGACCGATTACTTTCGAATTGGTGTCATTCAAGACGAAGCCGGAGCAGAGCTCTGTGGTGCGCTTAAAAACATTGTAGCTGTTGGCTCAGGAATTACAGATGGACTGGGCTACGGAGACAACACGAAAGCTGCAATCATCCGACTTGGTTTCATGGAGATGAGGAATTTCATTTTCCGCTTCTTTCCCGATCGAAGTAAGCTAGATTTTAGAACCTGAGTATTTGTAAAGCTGCTTAGCTGATTGGAGGATCAACTTAAAATCCCGCATCATTTAAGTCTTCTTTTGTATTAAAAAATCTAAGTTTATTTTACCCATAATTCCACTATATATATATGAGTTGGGAGAGGCCTGGCTTGTCTCGAAATTATCATTAGACTTGTGAATCACTAGCATCCTTGGATATATAGTGGAGTGATAATATGTCACCACTTTACTCACGTGACCCGATTTTAATTCCTGTTGTGAATACTGATCTAGCCTTGGGGATATCAAAACTGAATTCAAACCCGGATGGAAAAACATTTTGAAGAACAAGGCTAAGTAGAGTTTAATGATATCGTCAAGCCTACTCATTTAGTAGTGAGAAAATGCAACTATCCATCCATAAATCGCTTTAGGTGTTTTATAGTGATTTGAGTCCTTAGCTAAGATTTGTTAGAAACATTCTCACATCGAATTAAAACCCCACTTTTCTTCAAAGCCGTGTTTACCATGAAAAATAGCAATGCGAGCTTGGTTATGACTGTCAGAAAGGCGTATACTGCGCATTATTGAGTATATTTAGATAGGAAGAAAAACTTAGTTTGGATGGATCTCCTGAGATAACATTGTTAGGGGACCCTTATTTCGTATGAAAGTGCATGAATAAGAGATTCGTTGGTCGATCTTACCAGATAAGGACGGTTGAAACTTGTTGTACTGTAGCCGGTTGGATTTTATACGATATGTTTACGCAACCCACGGGACTTCCTCCCTCGTTTCGGGTGAAAACGTGCTGAGCTTTCGTCCATACTATGATGGACATCATCAGAGCTGGGTGTCATTCCTGTAAAAGGCTTTCGTTAACACTATGCCAAGAAGGCTATTCGGCTTTATCTTACCTCTTATATAGACTCAGTTACGCCAAAAGAAAATTAAAAACCTAGATGGATATAGAGTCGTTTGGCTAATTATCTTTCATACTTGTCCTGCTACTTTTGCTCGAGGGTATGCGCGTGTGTTTTAGCGTCTATATGCAATACCGGTCCTAACTCAGAGTTATCAAAAGGTTAAAGTTAGGCTCTGATCATCAACGCCTAATGACCTAAAAGAAATCCCTGACCGAGACTGCATAAGTCCGTAAGGAAGTATGATTAAGATAATGAGATATGAGCTTGTAAGAATGTAAGTTAAGTTACGAAACCACTTGTCCTAACCTCTCGGTCTAGGGTCATTAACGTTTAACCCTCTAAGGAAAGGCATGACTGGGGCTACGTAATTTGGCACGTCTGGTTTGGTTGATGAGCTTAATTTAACATGTTGGATGAGTGTAAGTAAAGTTAGAACCATCACCAAGCAGACAAATTGAGTCGCCTTCTTTTTGACGGCGGCTCAACACCCTCTCTC